CTTATCTCTTATGACTGAACGGTCTAACCACCACCTCACATTGGTGCAAACCACATAGCTCAATCTCATCAAAAATACGAGTTCATGAAAATTTTTATCAGCTAACCTCTTTTGCTATGATCCTATGCAGCTTTTCATCCTACATTGACCTGAAATGTTAAGTCTGCTCATTTTCCACTTTAATGAAGTTTTTTATTGGCTTAACATCACTAATAAGTAATAAACACCAAAATTAAAGGTACAACAGGTTTTAGGGGTGCCAGCAGGGATATAGGAGGATACCAGTAATGATTTCAGTTGCAAACTAAAGGTTGAAGGCTACTGTCCATATTTTATTATGGCCTCAGAAATGTATGGATGAGGACTCAGGTTTCTATTAATGATACTCAAATCTGCAAAATAATTACAGATTTAAGGCAAGTTTTCCAAAATCATGAAAGCTTAAATTCCAACTTAGGCCCACTTCTGCATATATGATCAAATGGAGCCAAAATCAAAAACTCACAAGCACCAGACAAATTTTTGTTTGTACCCAATGCTAAACAGCATCTTTTGGCACCTGCAGAGGCGACAATACATTAAAGGAAGAAACTTAGAATTAAATGCTGGGGAAGTTCCAAATCTACAATGTTTTACAGAGTCTTTCAATTTATCAAGAACAAACTCAATTACTCAAGCTGGGCCTAGAATGCTTAACTTTCTTCCACACACAGCTGTTTTTTTAAAAACAACTACCCAAGCCGCGGGCCTCGAAAAGCTTTTATAAAAATCCAAAAAGGAGGGGTTTTTCTTGTCAGGGAAGATCCAAGTAGAAATAAATGCCCCGTCGCATAGTTAGGAAAGCTGATCATCTCATGGAGTAATTCCATTGAAAAAGTAATAAAACTTACAAAAAAAAAAGAAAGTAATAGCATGGAACATCTCGACATTAAATGGTTTAACCTAACTGGAGCCTCCCTGTTTGGTTTGGGTCGTTAGTGAGAGCCACTTCCTCTCCAATATACAGCTCAAAACAGAGAAAGAACCGCAAATGACTTAAAACTATACATGAAGGATGCAATTATAACAGCTACTATAGTACTTTTAAAAATATCACAAAGGGAAGACAAGAGTATTAAATGATATGCTTTAGAACGATGTTGATTCAGGAACTTGCTTTCAGAGGAGAAGGAAGAGAAATGGTGTACCTAAAATTTATAAATGTGCATTACATGTCACATCATTGTTAACATCAGCTAGTAAATGTACATAACAGGGCTGCCCGAGGTCAAATCCAATGAAAATTTCTGTACAAAATAGGCGCTTGTTGTCTGGTTGAGATTATGGAACATGGCCAATAAGATCAATGTTTAATTCATTCTGTCAACCTGAAAATCCAGCAGCCGTAGTCTGCATGGCCATGGATAGATTGCCCAAGTCCAACAAAAAAATTGCATATGATTAAGACACGTTACTTTTCTATTAGATTATACTATCGTGATGGTAGAAACAGCTTTTATAAGATTATAAGAAAAGAAATTATTGTTACTACTTAATAATTAGGTTATACTTATTCCATCTTTGTTCCCTCTTCACCAAACACAGTGAAAGATTTCCCCACCCTAAGCCCTCGGAAATCTGCTGAGGAGCGAAAGCAAAGTTTTGGGCTTCCTAGTTTTACTTAGCCCAGACTAGAATGGCCGAAGTCCAATGAAGTCACTTCCTGGCTTCATCGGTTAAACTTGGGTCAAGTGGCAACTCTTGGCCCAGACCTGGCTTTGTGTTTCATGCGGGTCGGTCCACTTATGGGTGAGTAAACCGTTGGAGCATCAGCATGCCCTTGCAGTGCGGCTAAAAAGGAGTGTTTGCGGCTCGTTGGTAACTCTTGAAATTAAAGCTCATAAGTGTATTATTTTACTTGCACATAAGTGAGCTTATTACAACCATGAATGTCGTCTATCAGCTAGATTTGGTACGATAACATAATAGTAGTTACTTAGAATTGGCAGATGAGCGATCAGCAAGCTCCTATTGGTAGTTGAGACAAATCCCTTTCCCTCCTGGAAAAAGCCCTTTCCCTGCCCGATGAGGCCAATGTGATTTGAAATGGTCATGTCTCATGAGGATAAAGGTATTAACGCGTACGAACATCAATGAAGTCAAAAGTCAACACCAGAATGGGCAAAGAAAACTGAGTTGGCATGTTGACAATGTGGCCATTGACTTTCCTGGATTGGAATGATTTTACTCGAAATGCTTCATTGTCAACGTTGGAGGAAGATAACAAGCAATGAAACCCCCTTTCTTCCCTACTAATTCCCCTCATCTCGAAACCGTAGCCTTCGACTTTCCCCACATTGCCCTCGCAGTAGGATTTAGTCTTAAATGACTTTATTTGTGAACGCTACATGGAGAGAACCAACGGAGCCTCAATTCCTCCCTGTTAGTTAAATTAAATCCATAATTCGATATAGTTTATAGAGTGTACACCCTACAGTCTTTGGCAAGTTGATGGCTTTCCGCAATAAATAATTCAAAGCGCCTCATGATTGATACAGCTCCCTGTATGACTAACACAGTTCCGTCAACTCTTACCCAAGGGAGATTATTTCTTCCATCCCTATAAATACTAGTGGTAGTTGTTTTACTTTTTATATGTTTCATAGCAAGACACAGCTTTTTATTGAGGATACCGTTGCGCACTTACATTATTCATGTCGATCTCTGGAATTCAAGGCCTGCCTTTAGAGGTTACAGGTACGATACATATGATGCAGCTTGTTCCTAATTGCCATGGCTATCTTCTTACTCATATCCCTAGCTGAGTTTAACTTTGCAGTTGTTGGATGTTACAACTTGGAGGACAAGGAATGGATATCAAGACAGGACCCTTATGTTTGTGTTGAATATGGAAGTGCCAGGTGCCGAACCAAAACCTGCACAGGTAATCTGTCTCTCCTAGCATTTAATTTGCTATAATATGACAGAAAACTGAAGATTATGTTTTAAGTAAAGCCCCTGAATTAACAAATATCATATCCAACTATATTTGTTAGATGGAGGGAAGAATCCTACCTTCCAAGAGAAGTTCATTTTCACACTTATTGAAGGCCTCAGGGAGTTGAATGTAGTGGTTTGGAACAGCAACACTCTCGTTGCTGATGATCTTATTGGCAGTGGAAGGTAAATCCCACTATGTTGATTTAATTTAAAGGAATAAACTTCTTTGAATTCGCTAGTTTAACTGAGTTGTTCTTACTTATGTTAAGGATTCAACTCCACAAAGCCCTTTCCCAAGGTTTTGACGATTGCACCTGGCCACTTCAAAGCAAAACTGGCAGGTTGGTTAAATAGAAGCTTGTATAATCTTTCATAACCATGACCCTGCGGTTTTTAAATTTACATCTCTGATATATTTCTTTCGGTACAGGCATTCAGGAGAAGTACGACTTATATTGCACTACTCCAACGCCACAGTAAGTTACCAAGTTTCATATATTTGCAAATCCCTACTTTAGGATATATACATAAATATAAACCTGACCAAGTAATCATGGTTTTAAATTGTAGCAACCTCAAAAATGCAAGACAAAGCTAGCTCCATCAGTTCCAGAATATGCACCATCTGCCCCCTTCACCCAGGTCTCACCATATGGTCACCCATCAGCAGCACCTCCAGCTCCTTACCTGATTACGATGCCATATGCAGCCCCATCTCCTTAAAAGTCATATCCTACTAGTATAGCAACATATCAGCCCCCTCCTTACGCTGGCTATCCTCCACAGGCCCTTCCTGCAGGTTATCCTCCACAAACATACCCACCTCCCCCTCAGGCCTCAACTTATTATCCACCAGGTACATTTGTCTTCTCTCACATTTTTTATGCATCCTATAAATTCCTAGAAGTCAAAATTTCCAGATTTTGAAACTCATCCCATTGTTATTCTCCAAATTTCCATGTTTGTGAGTTGCTTTATCTGAATTTCTGATTCTTGCAGCAGCTCCAACTGGAATCTATTCTCCACCACCCTATTGAGCTCTTCGTCACTAATATCATGCAAGCAGAAAAAACACTACATCAACAGAAGATAACAGAATTCATGCTTTGAGCCACAAATGGCTTTATAATTATTCTAATCTATGCAGAAAATCCATTGCATTAGATGAATATATTTCCCTTTTTTGATCTGTATTTCGAGCATCTGTAAGTTTTTATTGAAAGTTTGGTTTCTTGTAATTTACTACTGCTCTGCAATTCTAGACAATAAAAAAGTGGTTTTCTCTCAAGTTGGTGGTATTTGTATTCAGCTTCCTGGTTTTCTCTTACCTTGCAAATTATTTTGTATTTTGACAAATAAGTCGATAAAGTATTATAGTTTAGAACGCTGCTGACCAATTAGTTACGTGAGATCAATGGTGAACGAACAATTTTGTCTATGATTTGCATCTTTGACTGAATTTGGCCTTAGCTAAATGACCATTGGCATTGCATACACATTTAAGACTGGTCAGCATATCTATAAGCAATATCGCCAAAGTGATTAAGGACTTCCCTTGAATGTTCTTGGCCATAAGCCTTTGCATTAGCTCATTTAATGTTTAATGTTTGGACGAGAAAAACTGATTTTTATTGGGTTATAAAATATCTTACACAAATACAATAATGGGTTTAAGGCCCAGATATATGTCCAACAAATAGGCCCAATCTACTAAAATTAAAAAAAAAAAGAAATACATAATAAAATTTTAAAAAATTATCAAATACATAATGATAAAATTTTTAGATTTTATGAGTGAATTTAACAGGACGACACATATTTTTTAGAATATATTTAAAATAAAAAATTAATTAAAAATATAAATAAAATTTATATATCAGTCTTTTAATACTTTTATAAAATTAAAAATTTATTTTAACAATGTATCTAATGAAATCTTTTTTCAAAAATAATAATAATAAATAAATAATGAACTACCATCTTATAAATGTCATTGGATTGGCTCATTGATTGTCATTATACTTTGCCGAATGGGCTAAGGCATAGGCATTATTCCACTTGGTAATTACTGTTCTTTAATTTCTTTAATTAAAACAATTACTCTAATTTTTTTTTCTCCAACCTAATAAATTGAATATTGAAGCACTTTAAAAAAAAAAAAATCTGTTGGTTTTCACCGCTCTGTTTCCATATTAATTGAAAACGAGGTCTTTATTAAATTCATACACGAAACAAAGAGAAGAAGAAGAAGAAGAATGGATTACCTAGGAATCGATTTTAGCTGCGCAATTGGATCTCTAAAAAGCGGGAATCTCCCCCCAAAGGACTGTTTGCTTGCTCTCATTTCCAAGCTCCTCGGCTACGCCATCGTCGCCGCTTCTACCACCGTCAAACTCCCTCAGGTCTTTATCCCAACTCCTTTACTTTACCAAACCCTTATTTCACTTACTTGGCCTTTTGGGTTTTTTAGTTTCTTTTCAAAGATTAAAATTTTTTTTATCAATTAATTCTTCCACACTGATGCCTAAATATCTCATTCCAAGGTTTTCGGTTGGGATAATTTAGTTGCCAAGTAAAGCAATGATTTTTTTAAAAAAATTTTAGAAATGAGATCTATTAATGAAGTTTTATTTAATTTCTCTACTGAGATCAATTAATGTCTTTTCTTATAAATTTGTTGTATGATGTTTTCAACTATGTAATAATGCTATTATTGTTTGTAACCATTGCAGATATTAAAAATTTTGAAACATAGAAGTGTTAGAGGGCTTAGCGTTGTAGCCTTTGAGCTTGAAGTAGTTGGTTATACCATTGCTTTGGCATATTGCCTTCACAAAGGACTGCCCTTTTCAGCTTATGGAGAATTGGCATTTCTTTTGATCCAGGGTAGGTGGAGCAGGGTTTTTTTAGTTTTTCATTGATTTTCCATGTTTCTGAGAAGTTCTTTCTTGTGTCGTACAAGAATAGTAGAAATTATGCTGACCTTTGCAAAAAGATACTGGGAGTAGGAGTGCATGTTTGTTATTGACTGTCGTTTGATATGCCATTGATCCATTCCTTAGGATATTGTTTTAGTCAGACTTGTTATGCAGTAGGCATCCAAATCTTGGGACTAAACTGTTTATAGGTTGGAGTTTGGACCATAAGCAGGATAAGAACAAGCATTGAATTTTTGACTGAACCAATATTTTAGAGATTTAAGCTAATGACAACTTGGTTTGTTTTGTGTAATATGCATATTAATATCTTTCAAGCACTAACCAGTTTCGTGTTTAATCTTCTCCTTTCCTATTTCTTCTGCTGCTGTGTGTCATATGGTGCATGTACACACATGGATGGGTCTATATGTGTATGCATGTGTGTGTGGTTGTATATTTTGTGGGTAAATTAGAAGAAGTAGAATTGAGAAATTATAGACTATGCATATGTGATAATTGAAACCAACCAGTATAGTTCCAGAACTGGTTAAGCCTTCTAGTTCTGAATATGATGCAAACTTCATATCTTCACAAAGCATGTAAGCTGTTCATCTTTTGGTTGGTTTAGTTTTTCCACCTTCATACAATTATTATTTTATATTTTGGAAAACTGATATTGCATCCGTCAATATTTGACCTGATTTTTCATCTGTTACAGCGCTAATCTTGGTTGCTATAATTTACTACTTTTCACAACCTGTGGGCATTTCAACATGGACCAGGGCGCTACTGTATCCTGCTTGCTTTCTCTGTTATATTTTCCATTTCTCTTCCTTTTTTTTTTTTGGAGTTTCTTTTTTGCTTATGACCTGCAGGAATGAAGAACATAAATATGTTTCCTTAACATGATGATGTTTCAGATATTGTGCTGTAGCACCAACGGTCTTATCTGGTCAGATTGACCCTATTCTTTTTGAAGCTCTATATGTGAGTAGCAACTTTTGCTTTCCATACTGTATTTAGAAAACATTGTGGGCTAATATTCGGAAGCTCTATACTGTCTTGCTTACATTCCTCTGTGTTCTTTTACCTTGTTTCTCTCATCAACTTATGGTGTGGGGATAATATTACTAACAGATATCTGTGTCCTAATATTCAGAAGCTTTAATTTTGCAATTATAGAGCTTCTGTATGGTTAACGCTATTTTGATGTGGACATGACTTGCTACAGGCGTCCCAGCATGCAATATTTTTCTTTGCCAGGGTACCTCAAATATGGAAGAACTTTTCCGTAAGTATAACTTCCATATTGAATTTGTATTCTGCTCTTAAATTATATAACTTATTAACCAACATTTTGGTTTTTGAAATTGCTACAGTTTCTGCAATTTCTTTATTAATTTAATGGAAGGAAGTTGTAAACCTTTCTCAGATATATGTTTTACAACCATTCATGGATCCCTATAGGACTTTGATTCTTGTGTTTCCTGTTTTGACATGTGCATCCATGTGTGCCCACTGGAGGGGGATGGTATTTCATAATCCTTAAATGCTGTAAAAGTTATAACATGTAAAGACTCATAGTTTCTAGCTTTGTTTTTGCCTACAAGTGATTTACTGCTCTTATGTTGAAAACATAGTGTAGGATTGTAGGAAACCATCAACACTCGATATTTGTAGCACAGTTCCATTATCAAGTGGTGAAGATTACTTTGATAAAAGGAGACCACAGCATATTTATGATCAGACCAATTAAAATTAAAAAAAAAAAGTCTTTGTTCTTTGGTAGATTCAGTAACTTCTATAACTCAATTGATCTATCTAGTAAACTGCTAATTTATGCAACTAATATATACCTAAATGTGGGTCAGTTTCCACACAATATAATGACTTATTGTGTTTTTTTGCTTACTGTCATATTGCATGTCCCACTTCTGTGAATTTTTTACTTATAGACAATCTATATCTATATTGCTGTTAATGAACAATTATTTTTTGAGCAGAACAAAAGCACTGGGGAGCTCAGCTTCTTAACATGCTTAATGAATACTGCTGGCTCCCTTGGTAAGTCCATGTTGTTAATAGCACTTCTGGACAATCAATGTTTGTAGGGCCATAGAGGTGGTTATATTCTGTTGCAATGACAAGGAAGAAGCTAAATTCATTTCATGTTTTCTATTGCAGTTAGAGTGTTTACCGGTGTCCAGGAGAAAGCACCAACAAGTGGTATCCTTTTTCTAAAATTTGTTATATACTTATTTATTAAAAAATTTCCATGACTTCTAATAGCTTCTATTCTCTGGTTCTCTTTAGAAGCAATCTATTTCCTTCCAAAGCATTTTCTCTTCATTTTTCTCTGAAAACAGAAGATAGATTACAACACTTCCGAAATTCTTTTACAATCTAAACTCATAACTACAGATGCTACATTATGAAAAACTGCACGTTAACTGTTGTTCTCTGAACCGTTTCTATTTCCCTTTGAGCTTTTATAAGCCAGATTTTTGCTTATTTATTGTATATATATGCCTATTTATTTTTGCTTATTTGTTGTCCTTGAATCCTTTGAAGTTGTTATGGGCTCTGTACTTGGTGTCCTGACAAATGGCACAATCCTGAGTCAAATTATCATATATCGAAAGCCACAAGTCAAGAAGGAGAAGAAAGTAAAGTAAAAGGACACCATTTTATAGTTAGACTATGGTTCAGATGTTGCAGTAGGTGAGCAAGTGTTGCAACGCCAAGCTATTTATCCTTCCATCATATGATCATTGGATCTATTAAAGTTTCAATAGATGTTACAAAGCATGCAATTGCTATCAACTTATTGTTGACACCATGGATTTGATAGCCTTTAAGATAATTTGGTTTAGATATTAGTGAATTCATTTAACAGCTTTTTTATTTTTAAATGAGACTCTTCCTCTTTAATCAGCTTCTGTTTATGCAATATTCGGCTTGAATGAATCATATTGCTATTAATCGGGCGTTTAGGCTTGGCCATGGTTGGTATATCTTTTTTATATTGAATACTTTATTTCTATGAACATTCGCGAGTAATATCTTTATTCTTCTTCTCGCACTAATCATTTGAATATTTGAAACTGCGTTAAAAAGTAGATCTAGTAAATGGTAAAATTTATATTGTAGTCTTCGCTCCTCTAGAGTCAGATCCCATTTTCCAGTGCATTAAATTCATGGCTTGATTCAAGTCAGAGCCTGAGAAATAAAGTGTGCACATGCCTTGTATTTGCTAGTAAGGTAGTGGTCAATGCATAAACCACAAGGAAAACAATTTTTCAGGCTGTAATATAGAATTTTGTGATGAATTGAAGGCCACGTAAGAAGTGTCCTATGGAGCTTCATGGTTGTTGCTGATCTTGTTGTTCAATTTTCTGTTTGATCACGCAAATGGGAACCCTTGGATGATAGAATAGAAAGTTGACGGTCAACTATACAGTCGACGGTAGCCTTGTCAAGTAATTTCATCTTTTTATAGGATTCTAAAACGAAGAGGGCGATGGTACACAGCGGTCCACACCCATTTTTTATGCTTTCCAACCTCGCTAGGATAATATGCATGAAGCAATGCTTTTTTCAGCTTGAAGAGATTGCCTCCATGAATTTCAAAAGTCATGTCATGAACAGAACAAAACCGAGAGTGGGTTCCGGGGGAAACAAAGCATTGCCATTTGCTAAAGGGGAATAGCTGGCTGAGATCCAATCTAAACCAAGAGACATTAAAAAAAAAAGTTAGAAAGTAAAGAGAAAAAGGTACACAATTCATAGAAAATGGGTAGACAAGCCACCAATCCAAGTGGGATATTGTAAAGCTTCAATGACGATTGCAAGCGTGAAAGGCAATGGTAGAAAAAGCGTGAATTCTGTGACTAGATGACGCTTTTTGAAATGTTAGGAATTGGACAATGGCCTCGAAGTTTCCATCAAATTGCATTATTCTATATATATCATAATCATCCAACCCCAATGTCAAGTTTTGGATAAATTAGGACAAACACGCACTGCAAATGTGTAATTTAACTAGTAATGGACCAATTACTTTCAAAAGCAATGCCATCAATCTCCAGCAATTTGAGGGCAGTTTCAAATTTTGTTCTCGACGTGGCCGGCGGGAATATGAGCGATGACATGAGACTTTCAGCACCAGAGGCAGTGGCCTCCAATTGAAACTGGTCCAAAGCCCTGATACCCAAGTTTTGAATTTTGTTTGTTTTAACCATCAGATATAAATTCAAAAGCCAACAACTCATGATTTGGAATTATGAGGTGGTGAGCATGCTTGGACCATCAAATGTGGAAAATGCCCTTCTAGTACTATGACAACATTTTCTTGAACACTCAATCCTCTGTTCAAATTAACGTACTCACACCATTGGAGTTTGACCCGGAACTTCTAACGTTCTAACAATTTTTTACCAATTCGTGCCCAAGTAAAGCACATTCTTCACCTTGACAATACCCTAACGATTAAACAAACAAATTGAAGCTTCTACACCACTATTTATTCTTAAACACCTAGTTTCCACAACCAGGACATGCCCTCCTCCGGAATCAAATGATTATCATCAGAAACTATACACACATCGTTATCTTAGAGAAAGCAAAAGGAAACAGAGAGTCAGGAATGCTTTAAAACGCACCAGCAAAATCTCCATGCATTTCAGAAATTCCAAACCATTCACTGTTTATGTCTAGGCCTCCATCGGAGATCCAGACCAAAACCAACACTCAATCCCGCCTCAGATTCAGATAAATCCCATAGACATCAACACTCACAAGCAATATATTTACGTGTTTAACTAAAGGATGTATGTAATATGTACATATGAATGTACATATGTATGTAATATGTACATATGAATCCACACAATCTCTCAGAGTTCATATTTGAAAACTGGCTTTGACTTGTACAAAAATTGCAAATCAAAAAGTCTAACTGGGTTCTAAGTTCTAACTCCTGACCTCAACCTTAGATCATATTTGAAACATTCAGCAACCGACAATAGATATATTTGTACCCAATTGATATAAAAATTGAAAATAAAACAGAAAACTTCTACCACTATTTTACTGATATTCAACAATTGATGCTGAAAATCATGCAGACAAGGAGTTTCGATTGAATCACACCACCTATCTAAGGGGCATATGTATCATACTCGATACACATCAAAAGAATCAGAAGCTAAATAATGCACGGATCTAACTAATAAAGAAACTAAGACCCAACAGATATAGAAGAAAATAAAAGAGAAACTATCACTTTTGAAGATGAAGATTCAATTCAAAAGGCAATCAACAGCACACAGCAGTGAATTAAATACACAAACAACAGACTCGGGGACGACAATACAAAATAATGTAAACAGTTTGAGACCAAGAGTGTTTTTTTTCTCTCTTTTTTCATTGCAACTTCGCTTCATCCATCCAAATTAACTTTGAGAGCGGCCATTACTACTTGCCAACCTTCTCAAAGTGGAAGCCACTAAACTCCTCCCACTCAAAAGCCCTAACAACTTTAATGATGATGATCGACCCGTGCTGCTCGACGCAATACTAGGAGCTCCAATTTGACCAGCCACCACCGCAGGAAATTCAACTCCATTATCTTGTGCCCCACCATCACTGGCACTTGCATCTAAATGTTCCCCTGTATCCAAATTAACCGCGAGCGATCCTCTATGTGCTCTTAACCAATCCGCCCCTTCCGAAGTAACCCCTCTACATTTCTTCACCTTCACTTTAACCAAATTGGGGCAACCACTAGCAAGCGCTTCCATTCCATGATCAGAAACAGGGCAACTCTTAATGCACAGCTTCTTTAAAGCTATACATTTCACAGCAATACACGAAATCTCTGCATCACCAACTGTATCACTACCGCATAAAGCTAACCGCTCCAAGTTCAGACAATTCGAAGCTAACAATTCCAAACTCAATTTCGTCGGATTAACACCAATAAGAACTAGTTCTTGTAAATTGGAGCAAGATTTCGCAACGGCAATTAACCCTTGGTCACCTATTCGATTTGCTTTCCATCCATCAATGTGCAGCTTCCTTAACAATTTACATTTCTCCGCAATAGCTCCGAGTCCGGCATTGGTACACTCGGGAGTCTTAACGAGGTGAAGAATTTCTAGGTTTAAACAGTTGGATATCGCCACGAGACTGACATCGCTGACTTGGATCCGCTCCATATGGATCTCTACCATACCCGTGACCCGATCCACTATAAGAGGGAAAAGCTTATCCCAATCACCAGAGCATCTAAAAAGTTTTAAAGATTTCAGATTCTTTGCACCAATAATAAGCGGACCAAAGCACTGTCCATTATAAAGCTCTTTTAAGCAAATCGTTTTCAACGCCGCCGCCGCCACCCCTGGCCCTATCAGCTCGGCTGCAACTCCTTCGGTGATGCCACGAAGTCGTTTCACGGAGAGTTCCTCGAGAGCTGGACAGTTGTCGAGCACGGCGTTCATGCCTTTAGCTCCGAAAGTACAAGACCCACAGGAAAGCTTCTTTAAACCCCTACAGTTTTTAGCGAACACCAACATGCCTGCATCAGTCAATTCACGGCATGCTCGGAGCTTAAGGCGAGTCAAGTTCCGGCAATGCTTGGAGATTTGAACAAGAGCTTCGTCACCGATGCTAATAGATCTACGCTCACATTTCAGAGCCAGTTTTGTAACAGAATCGAAGCGAGAGAAGATGGAAGGAATTAGAGGGTACAGATCTGATTGTGCGTTGAGGGAGAGTCGGTGGCGGCTCTGCCCTTCAATCCTCAACCAACGGCGGCAAACAAGAGAGCACTGTTTTCGATCACCGGGACTAAGAGACTGAAAAATGCAAGCTAAGCAGTCGTCAGGTAGATCCGAGATGAAATCAGATAATCCATCTATGCTACCTCGGTCAAGCTCTTCAGCTTCCTCAGCTTGCATCGGACAGATCAGAGCCGTTGGTTTCGATTTTAAACGTTGGCTATGGTTACAATCTCGACGGCTCATGAGTTTCGCCGTCGAAACTGATTGGCCCATCAACAACAACAAACTAAACCTAAAGAAGAAAAAAAAAAAAGAAGGAAACAGCCACAGGGTTATTATCCTGGGCGAAACCGTAGAGGAATACTAAAGCAGAGGTCTAACTCAGTTCTGTTTTGTTCTTCTTGGAGATGTCCAGACCGATGGACTTCAAAATCTGATTTAACTTGGCTTTTCCTCAACTTTGTTTGCTTTTTCGTCTTCCTATTTTGAACAACAAAATAGCCTTCCGGCTCCACTCTTAAGTTTTTATACGCCGTTCCCATGCTCATAATACTTTTGTTGAGCCCACTCCTTGATTTTCGTTGGTGATGGAGTCAAAGCTAAAGTCAAAGAAAATTAAAAATCAGAATGCAAATTAAAGTGATTCAATAAAAAAAAAAAAAAAACCTAAATCGGGCAGGGTGAGGTTAGGCACAGGAGATGCTTTCTTTCCAGCATTATCCTTAAATTTGTTTACTTATCTTAGAATGTAACCAATTTATATTTAGTACTATATACATATAAATTTTTTTTCATTTTGGACACGCTGTCTATATTAGATAGTGATAAGGTGACTGAGACGATGCTGATTAGTGTTAATGACGCCACCGAGCCAGAGGGAGCCAAGGGGTTGCTGCCATTGCCGTTGGACTGACAAGTGCGTTTTTTATGTTTATTAAAAGAGGAATTCATTTTTTATGATGTTTGTTTGTGAAAGAAAATTGATTGGATATGCAAATTTTGTGGTAAAATAATGCCCGTTGACATTAGTGATAATTACCACCACCAACGGTGATTTTGAGGTTTTGGCATTTAAAACGGAAAGCTTTGGTTTATTTGGTGGCTGAGCTTACGAAAACGAGTGGTTTATCCATTACGTGGGTTAAGGGCAAATATTGGACTTTGTCTTGATATTTTTTGGATTTGATCAAAAAATTCAAAATTAACGCATTACAAATTTGACGCTTAATGGCCTTCGTTTTTTCTTATAAAAAAGAAAAAAAGAAAAAAAACAAGATTCAACTCACTATAATGATCAATTATTTGATTAATGGTTTGACCATTCGCAATATTTTAAAAAATTTCTTGGCATGGACAAATTCACAGTTAAGGATTAAGAATTCTTTAATCTCATCAATGACAAGCTTGAATAATACAATTAGAATAGCTTTTGATGTGATCGAATATACGATACACTGACGTGTACTTCCCTTCTCATAATAACTAGTAATTGAGGTCCGGTTTCGTTTAATTTATTGTATTAATTTTTTATATTTTATTAAAATAATATTTGATTGAGTTAAAAATTAGAATAAGTGGGTAAATTTTTTTAAAATAGTTGAGAAAAGAAAGTAATTATGATATTAAATAAAAAATATTAATTATTAAATAAAAATGTAAAATATAATTTGTTAACAAAAATATTAAATAAAAATTGTCATCGAATTGATTTTCAAACAATCATTTAATAGAGGCATGAGAAAATAACAGCTCAACGAAAATCTAACATTTGATCCCAACTAGAAACACGTCAACAAGAAAAAAATTTAACTCTGACCAAAATTAAGAAAACTTGGCTCTCTTTTTACCACTATTACTTTGGTGAAGCTCACTTAAGAACACGTGGCTCTTTCTCTCTCCATAAACCCAAAAAATTAAAAAACAGGTGGCAAGTATATATCCCTTAATACTATGTTTGAATTGAAGAAAAAAAAAAGTAATAGAAACAAAAAAATTTATTTTGTTGTTTGAATAAATTTATAATTAAAAAAAATTAAATAATTTTTTATTTCTCTTATAATTTTTACTTTTTAACACCTTAATTTGAAGAAAAAATAAAAAAATTAAAGTTGAAAATTTTTTGTTTTTATGAAAAGGCTATTATATCAATATTTTATAAAAATATTTTTTTTATGAGTATTTTATATAACATCATAATTTATAAAATATTTTATGATTTTTTAAGTTTTAATAATAAAACAAGTCAAATTATTATTAAAATAAATTAAAATTTTGAATTAAACATAAAATTAAAAATAAATTAATAACTAATTAATATATCTTATCGTATTAAACATATTCAATTTTATTCAAAAAAATTTGTTTATATAAGTTAAGTAGTATATAGATATATTTGTATATTATATGTTATTTTATTAAAAAATATTATAATAATTTATTTTTTTCATTATTAATCCAAATAATGATTGTTAAATTTATTTTTTATTAATTTTAATTGTTCAAAAAATAGATATATGTATAATTAAAAAAATTATTAATATTTATCCTAACAGATAATTTTATATGGGATATATTGATATGAATATAGATACCTCATAGGTTCGTGAATGTCTCGGTGGCACTCCCTCTTACACTATTTCCATTATTCAATTATTCATTGACAACCATGCCCAATATATATATATATATATATATATATATATTTATGATATTATTCTTGCAAAACAAGTAAGCTATTTTATTTATGTTTTTTGTTTGGAGCGAGAAAATTTTTTTTCACTCGTAAGAATAAATAAAAAGGTCAATGGGATTTTAATTTAGTAATAAGGAAAATTTTTTTTCTTATATTTACATTTAAAGACGTCACGATTCTTTAAAAGAAATAAAATTTAATGATACTAAAATCTAATTTTAAAATTGAAAGTTTCAAATTTAAAATAAATTCAAAAGACAAATAAAAACATTTAATATGAGTCATTTTCATGTATTTATATTCGTTCAAGTACAGTTTTTTTTTTTTTTTTATCAATTATTTGAAATTCAAAATTTGAAGTAGACTTTCTATTCTACCCAATTAGGAAGGGACCATGATCAAGCAAAAGCGGATCCATGGCCCAGCCCAACAACAACTAAAGGCCAAACTCTGTTAAATATTTTTCAAACCCGTGAAAATTCAAGACTACTTTCTTCCGCTCCTTAAAAATGAACTCACTGTTAAATCGGTCCCCTCTGGCCCACATCCTACAAACGGCGCCGCTTCAACTTGATCCCTTCCAAAAAAAACAAAGAGAAGAATAGTGAGCGGTACGGTGATCCTCAGTTCCTCAAGCCACATTTCTTCACTCATGGCCGCTCCTCTGCTTCTTAAAGGCATCCCGCTGCTCCGCCTTCGGCTGCCACGGTACAACCGTCTCACCGTCGGAATCATATCGGCTCCGCGTCGTCCTTGGTGCGTCGCCGCGGACTCGGCTGGGCAAGAAGAGGAGGCATCCTCTGTGGAGAAGAGTAGTGCGGTGCTGAGCGTGAGGGACCCACCGAAATATCATAGGTGGGATGATCCTGATTACAGGAAATGGAAGGATAAGGAGGAAGAGATTCTTCGAGACATCGAGCCTATCATTTCGCTAGCTAAAGAGATTCTTCACTCTGATAGGTCAGTCTCTTAACCCTATTCCTTTTAAGTGCTATTTCTTTAGGCTCCATTTTCATGTAATATTTTTGTTAATTAGATTATACGTTTGAATATTTAATAATATCATTTCATTTATGCACAGAACATTTATGTTTGAAGTAGTAAAAGCAACTTGAATTTCTGAAATCCTAAAGTGGAGTGCAGGGCCTTATCCATGTTAGTATTAACTTCAAATTTCTAACAAATGTCAGATTATGCGATTTTCGGATTCTCTGACTCTTAGATCATGATAATTCAAATTTGTTAGTTATGTTGTTTTTATGATGAGACAAATTGTTGATTTAGTTCATTTTTACTGACTAGTAGTTTCCAATGTTGAGTTCTGGCATTGTTCAAAGGCTTGTAAGCTAGGATTGCATCAATAACTCGTGAAGATAATGTATTGAGCTTTGAGTTTAAAGGTTTTTGTTAGTATGGAATTTTGAAATTCCAAGTCCTTTGCTGATAGGAGAGGAATGAAAACTCGCATTTATCCTTTTGCATGATCAGGCTTGGCATGGTTTGGCTTTTCATTTACTGTAAGAACTTGTTTAATCTTGTGTGATAAGATCTTCTAATGCGTTCAAAATATTGCTTTTTATCGTCACTTACTTCACTGAAAGTTATACTTCCTGATCATAATTAAAAGGATTTGTTTTAGAAGGAATATGGAGTCTACTGGTGTTAATAAAAGAGCACTTTAATGTTGCCTCTTCATCTTGCATGTCCCTTCAAAACCCTGCCACTAAATTCCCATTAATATCCCCCATTATCTTCTCTTATCAAGGGCAGAAGAACATGAAAGTAGAATGGGAACATGGTATTGGTTGGCTATACAGGCAATGTATTCAATTTTATACTTATGAATTTCCATCATTGTTAATGGATTTTGTATATATTAAATACAAAATTAGAAATAGGGGATACATGGAGTTCCTCTTTTACCCAAATTAGTAATAGAGAGAAAGAATAACATAAAAGAAACAAAAGAATTCTCTGTCTGGTTGTCTTATGAATTTTCTAGAACTAATTAGTTAGATTGGAGCTGCAGATATTTTCACATCTTGTGACAAATTGGGAAACCAAGTAAATATGCAACATTAGAACTCTCTAACTGTGTGTCAAGTTAAAACTTCAATGTGTTTGCTGACTCTTACGAAAGGAAAATGCTGTAATCTATGTTAACCATGTTCTGACATTCTTATGAAAAATATTCCCCAGAACATTGAGCTAACTAATTTTTTTAAAAATGACGAATGAAATTAAGTTTTGATTATACACCTGTGATTTATGCCACTGATAGAAAATCAATCTAACAGATAAATTTGAGATACTTTTTGGATGTAGCAGCTAATAAGTTGAGTCAATCAGTCTTTGCAGTGCAACAATGTTAATTTTAGTCAACTTTGTCATTATGATTCTTCTTTCTATTTATTTTTCCCAATGTTAGGTATATGGATGGGGAACGTTTAACTGTTGCAGATGAGGAAACTGTGGTAGAGAAGCTTCTTCGTCATCATCCACATTCTGAAGATAAAATTGGATGTGGACTTGATTCTATTATGGTGAGTTTTTGTTGGCATTATCTTTTCAGTGTTTTGGTTTAGTTGCTGCATGATCAAACATGTGTTATTGGTAAACTTCACAGTATTTCCATAGTCTGTCTGCTTTGTAGGCAAATTTAGAGGCTGCATATTTAGAAAAGAGTGAAGTTGATTGTTTCGTGTGTCTCGCTGTCAAAAATATTCTCCTACCTGCATTTGCTATGAATTTACCTGTATGACTAAATCTTTTGCAAATATAAGCCGTATTTTCTGTTCCTTGCAGTCAACTGTTGTTTTCTACTTTGAGGCTCATTGATTCATTAATTATATTGTTTGTTTCACTTAAATATTTTTTTGTGTATAGTTGGTGCAACATCTGACAAATTGGGTGACATATGTGGAGAAATTGACTTTTCATGTTATGCATTTGTTTCTACCATGTTTTGGGCCTGAGTTTCATTTGCTATGAATTCATTATGTTTTACCCCTTGCTTCCTACTGACATGATCTCCAGTTCCTTTAACTTGTGTTTGAAAAACATGTCTTTTTGGCCTCCTTGCTCAGGTGAGTGGTGAATACATGCATCATGTATTATTTACATACTTTTGCATGCATGGCAGCTTAGAATTCTTACCATTTGGTTTGTGACTGCTTACTACATAAATCAAGCCCAAGCTAGAAGTCTAATAGTGTTTTTTTTTTTTTTTACTTTTTGGTTGTCCACAACAGTGGCATCAATTTGTGAAGAGTTTAAGGATGGTTGTTGAAATATTTGTTTATGTCTGGATGATCATAGACCTTAAGGATCCTGAGAAGGGCTTCTTGTTACAATGTTACATGCTAAGTAGAATGAAATTTACCTGACAATATCAGGAAAAGGTATATTTCTTCTTAATAAATGTTAGAGCTAAAACTAAAGAAATAGCGTCTTGAAAAGCATGCACATGTACCAAGAAGCATATACAATGGTGGTTTTCTTTATTGTTCTTCCATGTCAGAGAAGCTTCCCAGCATTCTTGAGGCAAATGCTTGGTTTTGGGATGTGAAATTATTTCACAATTAACGCTCTGCTTTGCACCATTTCTAGCTGGTTAATTGCCTTACATGCTTCTATGTCTCTAATTTTACCTAGAGATGCAATTTCAGATTAGTGAAATTTTTTTTCTCTCTATTTCTAATTATAACTTACAGATATGGTCTGGGCTAATCTAGGTAGCATTTTGAGTGGCTTTAGCATACAAGGTAGGTTGCTCTTGTCACACTCACTTATCTAAGAAATACCCATTTGAGTAACACCATACAAATTAGGTTGCTCAAACTTTTCCTGCACTTAGAAATTTGACTAAAACCCCAAATCTTTTCAGCTTGAATGGGTGCCCTTTGGTCTCGGTTGAATCAGCAGCCTTTTGTGCTTGTATTTTTTTCTTAACACTTTATATTAGTTACTTTAGTCTGATTCTTTATCTCAATATTTAGAATTTGCTCATCTAAATTTTCTTTTACAATATTTTCTTTTCTTTATTCTTGTGTGTTAAAGTCTTCCTGCAGATGCATGTATGTCTATGTTGCATTTGTACGCGATTGTTGGCACATAGATCAACAGATGGAACCTTTTGACCGATGCCATTGTTTCCTCTATAGTTCTGAAATAGAATCTGCTTTTTTCTTTCTTTTAATCTGCCTGCTAATTTTGCTTGTCTTGCTAAAGAAAGTGAATGCGGTTTTATTGTTCAGTAGCTATTGTGGTTGGATGTGACTGAGTTAGCACAGTGTTGCCTTGCTTATACAGATCATTAACATGTTCAATGGATGTCTTTGGCATAAATTTGTATTGGCTTTTTAATTAATAATGTGCTTAATCTCCTTTGAAGGTTGATCGACATCCTCTATTTAGACACTCCAGGTGTCTCTTTGTTGTTAGAACTGATGGTGGATGGATAGATTTCTCATACCAAAAGTGTCTCCGAGCATACATTCGAGACAAGTACCCATCCCATGCAGAACGATTTATTAGAGAGCGTTTTAAGCGTGTTAGTGGCTAAAATGTGAAAACTTAATGTTAATGTTAGTGTTCAACTACGATTTTGGTGTCACTGGAGACGTTTAAATATTTCTTTCGGGTAGAGAGATTGTCATTTTGTGTCAGTGACCTATATATTGCCTTGATTTATAATTGTCAATGTTGTAGATGATTCTGGACTGGCGCTTCATGTTTGCTGAAAATGAGGACAAAGAAAATGGTTGAATTGAACCTCACATTGTTGACTTGCATCTATCTCCTTTGTTGTTGGCTTTATGTATGTTTTTTTATGTTTTGAGGAACAAGCTTTTTTTCAGATCCTTAGACCGGGGCTTTCATATAAAGTTAGTAGGATCTTCAAAGCACTTTATTGTGGGTCCCGAACTTGTCACCAGAGCTTTTTACATAACAGAATCGTTTAATTTCTCTCCAAGAACTTTCTGGTATCTTGAATGTTAAACACCTAGAGTACATGTTAGAAGAAAAGAAGTGTGAACATGCATGAGAATCACACACTTCTACCCACTTGTAGCTGATATTCAGAATGCCATAATAGCATTCAACATGCATCATTGATCATGGCCTGATCAGATAATTGCTTCAGTATTCCTGCAAGTTTTTACGCTGCTAAGAACACATCAATGAGTTACCCAATTCATAATTTGGAGGTTGAAGAATGATGAATTTGTTTTTTGTTTTTAATAATATGATCTAGCGCTTCTTTTCTCTGATGGTCGCATCAGATGGTAACAAAGGTATTCAGTGCTCAACACATTTGGCATACAAGAAGAGATAGTTGAAATCACCACCACGTCACTGTTACTGAATAATTGATCGACTGTGTGATGGACCACTGAGTGCAATTGGCCTTAACCAAGGTGGTCTTCCGACTTCCCACTATGTAATAGTAGTGATTTAGAAGTTTGATCTTCTTACCAGTGATGACGGCAAAAAGACTAAGCTTTCTTTAGTGGTTGGAGGCCTGAAACTGGACCTGAACTAGTCAAAGCAGTCTAGCTCAGGTGGTCCGCTTGTCCAGTTGGTGTATTTGGTCCAAAGGGTAGATAACACCATTGCCCAACTCTGAATATTTGTCTGCTTGAATGTGGGCCGTTTATATGACGGGCAGACATGATTTTTTTTTTTTATCTTCATTAGGTGTTTCGAGTGGTCAAATCACGCACTTTTGAAACAAAATATAAAATCCCTATAGTCCAGTATAGCACGCCTTACTGCTTTTGAAGGAGCTTAGGTTTTTATATAGATAAAATATATTACTAGTATTTATTCAATAGTCTCAAGTCTCGAGCTGTTTTTCGATTTGATACTATTTTTCTCAACCAATAATGGTTTTGTAGATGAGTGTTGGAAGGGAATGACAACCTGACATCCACCATCTCTTTCAACCGGAACTGGATCCCAATCAGTTATTGTTTCTCGAATCGGCCTATAAACTGGGCTGCTTTGCTTTCTCTGCCCAACAAAACTGGCAGATTCATTATTGGACGAAGACTTATTCAGCGAAATTTATTTATTACCATCCTTAATCTGCAACGCATTCCCATTGGTCCCTTAACCCATCAAGCTATTGATGTTTTGGACTTTCAAAGCCCGTGAGAGTAAATGAGATTGGTCCGAATTACTTTTCTGTCTTTTTCAGTTTTGTTACTTCAGAACATTGTTTGCTGCTGGATTTGTAATGTCGATTGATAAATGCAAGTGGCATGATCAAAGCAAATACTACTCTGAAAAGTTCTTTTTTGGAATTCGTTTGGTTGATTGTAATGACTAGTAGTAGGTGGTGGATGGCTGACTGGCAAGAACGTTTGTTCTCATCAATATGAATTAATACTAAAATAATGTTTAAGTGAAGTGATGATCAAAGGGAATTCAGATCATGGGTAATGGAGCTCAACTATTGTAACTAAACAAACGTTTCCACCTCTTTGGACTTGGTGTTGGGATTTACCGTCAATAATGAAAAGCTTGTGCGAGCTATGCCGTGAATCATGATTAAGGGACAAGCATGATGATTAGACTCAGACTACATTGTGGCCTGTTATGGACCCCAGCGAACTGGGAGGTCCACTACACAGCTGGATGGAGAAAATCCATGTGGACCCTTGCTCCCCATTATGGTGGTTTCATGGTACAGATGGGAGCACAATAATTTGCTGAACACTCAAGGAAGATGATCAAAAGATCTTCTGCTAAACAGCCGTGAATTTTGTGATCCCTCAGCCTGCTCCAATCAGCCGATTGAGTCTATTGATGCATAGGTTTAAGGGTGCAAGCTAATGGGTTCATGAGTCCCAATAAAGGGTAGGCTTTGCTTTCCGTTGTGTTGGATTTGAAATGGAGGAAAAAAAGAGCCATACTTTCTGATTCTGAACTTTGGTGTGGGCTTGTCTGACTATAATCACGCTGGTGAAAATGAAACAATTAAGATTGAACCATCTGTTTGGTTTTTGGGAAACCTGAGAGAAAATACTAGGAAAAAAAAAAGACAAGAAAAATACAAATTCGAGATGATCATGTAAAAGGAAAAGAGAAAAGGAGATTGCTGCAAATACAACATTAATATTACCACTTCTACATAACATAAAAGTGGTGACTGGTGACTATTAGCTGTAATACCATTTGCTCAGTTTCATGGTTTCAGTTTTAAGGGTACTTTTTTGTGGGTTACCTGTAGACAAACACAACCAACACTATATCTATTCCATTGTTTCCCATCTTCCATTGATTTCTCTCGTACTCTCACCTGTTTGCACTAACCCACCCACCCCTTTTTCAATTTTTTTCCCTTGAGGTCCTCTTAATAGCTCCATAAGAGGGAAAGGAATTAGCAGGAGTAAAAGAAATGCAAAGAAAGACTGCAACGTGTCACGGTTGATACCCCTACACGCGTCTCCAAGTTAAACAACAAAACCTGCCGCAATGGATTCGGTTTTCCACATTATTATAAGAGAATTAGAAAGAGGCATTTTCATTGCATGGCTGAATGAAAGTGAAGAAATTTTTGAGAAAATCTTGAATGACAAACGCAACAGGGTCTCACTCTCAACCTTTAGAACACCACTTTTCGTACCAAAAAGCAGGAATTGAGTTGTCCCGCTAGAGAGAAGTAAATTACATGGGGGACCCTTTTTTTATTTCCATTTCCATTTCTTTTATATGATCCTTAAGATTTTTGTTTGAGTCTCCAACAAAAAAAAAAAGAAATGCAAAAGAAATAATTAAATAAATAGGACATTGGCATTGAATTCCTGCTCCAAAAGAAGTGTGCTAGGACTAGATTAGAGTCCAGAGGCATGCCATGCCTTTTGTTGCTTTTCGGTGAGACTCTTCTACCAAGTTTGTAGAAGGATGGGATTCATATGTAGCATAAAACAGAACATAAAGTGCGTTGAAATTTTTGGAAAGTGAATGTGACAACTCGTTGTTCCTTTAGATTTTATGTGTTTTGTTTTGCCCTCTGATTGTTTGTTTTTCTCTACTCCACACCCATTTTACTGGAGACCATGAAAAAAAAAATGGAAAAAGGAACGAATTTTAAATTGGAAAAACTTACATGGAACAAAGAGCAATATGGGTTGTATCTAACTTTAACAGCAGGGTAACAAAAGCTGGTAATATTGTCTCTCACCAGAATTTCATTGGTATTTTGAGCTAACAGAGGGAAAAACAGTCAAATGGATAAAAAAGTAACCAATCAAACTGGCACATTCCAATCCAAGTAGAAACTTGGTTGGCATAGTTAGTAATGTTGACAGTTTTTCCATGCCATTTTCTTATCTTGGTTTAAAATGATGATATTAAGTCAAAACTACATTCAGATTCAACATCGGAAATGTGGAAATTAAAATGTATTTGTATCCATCAGCCTGCAACTACTTGTTTGATTTGAAAGATGTTCGCATTTTGTAGAATGGCAACTGTTGACCTACCGTAATAATCGTCTAAACTATGTATTAGCCGAACTTTTTTTTTTAATTTAAGAATAAGATTGAATATTGTTTTTTAACAAAAAAATCATTTATCGATCAATTTCCCTCCAATTATATCAGATAACAAAACAAATCAAGGAAAAAGCATCTATCATTTTTTTATTATTTTATTGACATCAATCATGCTGTCCACCATTATCATGATACAGTAATTGAATCTTATGGCTTTCTCCCACGATTTTTCCCTGTATAGCAATTTTCTCTTTATATTCAATGCTATGGTGGCCGTATTTATAGCCCAAAAGGAACAGCTATGGAGATGTATTGGGTAAAAACATGAAAGGAAACAAAGTTCATAGATCAAAATTCAGAAACTAGTAGAATTCTAGCATCTATTTTAACCAAACAGGTAACAGACGCCGGCTGCATTGTTAATGATGAAACAATGATTTATGCCTTGTTATAGTACTATCTCACTTAGTAGTATTATTTTATTACTGAAAACTAGGGTGAAAATTTTGTGTTAAATTAAAATTAAGATATGTAAGGATGAAGAAAGGAAGTGAGTAAGGAGTGGGGAATAGGGAAGGCAAAAACACTCGAATCTGTCATGAATTCGTCGGGTTTTGATTTGATCCGATAGTTTAGGATCAGTTTTTTTTTTTTTGAAAATCGGGCATCGGTTCGAGTAGGGTAAAAAATTTTCGGGATCGGGTCGAGGTCGGGTTTTAGGCAAAACCTGACCTTACCCGATCCGATATATATAAAAAAATTTATTTTTTTATTATTTTTTTAATTTTATATTTAATTATATGTATTTAATATTATATTTATATTTAAAATAATATTTAATTAATTTCAGGTCGGATCGAGTCGGATTTGATTTTATATAATGTCGGGTCAGGTCGGGTTCATGTATTAAAAATAAAAAAATTATCTGGTCGATACAGGTTCAGGTATTATATATTTAAAATTGGGTCGGGTTCGGGGCCAGCAAAAACCCGTCCCATCCCGACCCGTTGCCATCACTAGTGGGGAAAGTGTAAAAATCATTACCAGTGGATCTGTGGAATGGAACCTGGAACCCGCTTTGAACCTTCGGATATGGGAATTTTTTGATAGAATTTTTATCCTCTCCAGTTGTCAATTTTATGAATTTTTTTCTGCAGCACAAAATAGTGTGACAACCTTTTTTCAGATTCCTTTCTCTTCCCCATAGATATAAAAAAAATGAAGAAAGAAGAAGAATGGTACAACAAAGTAAGTAGAAAAAGAAAATTTACTACTCTTGGATCCTGATTAATAATATCCCTTGTGGATGTTCTAAGTTAATTCCAACTTGTATCAAGATCTCTTGTGTATGTGTTGCACTTGAAGTAATAATCACAATAATATAGAAATAATAGATAACAATCAATAATATAAAAACACAGGAAAAATAAAACACATTAAGATTTATGTAAAAAATCCTTCAGTGTAGAGGAAAAAAAATCATGAACTATCAGAAAAATCTTCACTATCAAATAATAGGTATACAAAGTTCTTCTCTAGCTAAAATTATAGCTAAACAACAACTAGAAAAAATAATTGGAGAAATCTCACTAAATAAGTGACTCAATAAATACATCATGAATTTGTTACTAAAGAGCTTTAAATCCGATCTTTACCGTTCAGAATGTAGAACTCTGAATCATAAACCTTCTGATAAGGTTCCAACTCAATCAAACCACGGATCGACTTCCATTCAACTAACTTTCCCCTTTTCTTTTTCTCTTTACTTTTTTTTGGCTTTTCTTCTTTTTCTACTTGATTTTCGACTCACCCTTAAAATAACCCCACCTCTTTTTTATTAAGTAGCTAGAGCTCTGTGTAAAATGAAAACTTAAGGCCCATGGCCTTTA